GTTGGTGTGCTGAGGTTCAAGCAGATCTGTCATTGTGAAACCCCTAAAGCCAGTCTTAGGATATCATTGAGTAAAGGGGCTATTAAGCTGGCTTCTCATTTGCTACTGCTAGAACAAAATTCCTTTCTAATTAAGATTTTGTCAAGGGAGGGGCAGCTCCACCATTTGCACTACAGAAGCACAATAGTTGTAGAGATTTGCCAGAGGCAGTTTTGTAGCTGTTCAAGAAGTTTGACAAAAAGGCATAATATTCTGTGTCCAAGAAAATCTGTATTTCAGAAGTACTTTTCCTGAACTAGGACAGGCAGTGATCTTCCATGAGCATAGTGAAATATTATATGATGAAACTTGTTGGATTCTAGTTACAAGATTTGAATGATCATAGGTATCAGGCTATAATACCATCAGGGTTAATCACTTGATAAGATGTAATTGTCCAGCACCACCATTTCTCCATGAAATTCTGAATTAATCCATGCTGGATCTCAATATTATCAGGGGCTTTCTGAATTATGTAAGTTGCTGTTCAAGAATTCTTGTTGCTATGGAAATGATTTCCCACCCTCTTCCTTTTGTCCAATTCTGAAGTATTGATACTTAAACTACTATGGCTGGTTTCTATATTTATAATTAGACTTTTTCAGGTACTATAAAATTATACTTTCACTTGCCTCAAACTGAGTATAATGTTCTATGCAAAATAAATTGCAAATACTTCCAGATTTTTTTCCAGATACTACAGTTTATAGCCCTATCATCAAGGAGTTACACCACACTTATAACCTAGAAAATAGCTCTATCCCTTGCTAGTTAGATACCTTCTTTAATGAGATCCAAATTCTCAGTAGTTTTAGAAAGTCTGTATAAAACAGAGGCATCAGGGAGTAAATTTGGAAAGCTTTATTTCCAGATACCTGTTTTTGAAAAATATCCTGTATAAACTTAAGGCTTACTGTAGAAGGCATTAACTAGAGAAAATTTATAATTCACCCTAATTCCAAATGTACCTTTAGCTAATTATCAGAAAACCCTTTCCATTTCTAGGTGAAGCCTCCACTCAGCATCTTTTGTCCCATCACTGTGAACATTCCCTCCTATTTATAATGATTGCTTTGCTGTAAAAGGGATTCCAAATGTGGTACTCTTAAAAACATTGGACAAAATAATTCTCTTCAGGTGGTAAATAGAATCCCAAACTTCTGAAGGAAACAATTTTAGAGAAGGCTACTTTAATGCAGGATATAGACTGAGATATGTCATCAAAGTGAAATAATACAGCAACATTTATGGGGCCAGATCACAGAAGGTTTTATTTGAGCAATTCTTTTGTGAATTGAAACCAATAAGATTGGAATTCATTCATGGAAGCAAAGCTTAGATCTAGGATATATTAAACAATACCGTACCCATAAAGAAAAATAATTTCTGAGCATATTCAACATGTACTACTTTTCTTAATTTAATTAGCATACATCTGAAATCAAAATCAGTTCTTTCAATTAGAGAGTGCAGTTTCAGATGGCAGGAGGCATTATCTCTCTGTTTTCTGAAAAACACGTTAAAATAATAATGCTACAAATACTATCGGGTAGATTCAAAAGTTTTAAAATTTACAGTAAATAATTATGTATAAATATCTGTTTAAAACAGAATATTCCTGTGTAAAACAAGCAAACAAAAACCCCTCAAGAAGCCCATAGGGTATAAAATCTGAACATTTCATTTCTAAGATCCAAAACAGGATAGCATGAATAATAAAACCAATATTGTATACCAGAAGATGATAATACCGAATCCTATAGCAATCAGATATATTGGAAGTACAGATCAGGTCAAAACTTCCCAGACCCATAAAAATCATCCTGCCAAAATGAAAGAAGAGAAAAGAGAGAGAGAAATTAATCCACAATCTGGTTCCCAGGTGTTCCTCCTAAGATGCACCATTTTTAGCTTCTGGGTCATGATGCTAAGAGTCCATCTGTGATCAGTCATCTGGAGGTAAGAGCATTCACAACTCTCAGAAAAAATAGGGACTGCATCAGGTTTTCTTCAGGAAGGTGACAGCATCTGGAGCAAGATATCTGTAGGCTAATTGTATGCTAGGCTTATCCATCTATTTGAATAAGATCTGTTTCTACTTCTTGAACTTCTTGCATCTCTCAGATGATATCATGGTGCCCCTGGAAACGCCGTACCAAGCAGTAGAGTCCAGAGAGCAAGTACAGGAAAGCAGTTTTACCAGCAAAGATAGCAGCAACTAAGTAGGCAGTGTAACTGCAGGGCTGGCTGTAACCTGGCAGAGTACAATAGCTGATGCTCCTCGCCTTGTAGCCTATGATGCTTGCAGCAGCTGTGAAGAAAATAACTCCAAGCAACAGGTCATGCAGAATGTTTGTTAGGAGCCAGTGGGTCCCCAGCACAGGAATCAGAGTCCATCGGCCCAATAAACTGAGCCCAAAAAGAACCAAGGTAAGAAGCCACACCAGGACTGCTGCAAAGACTGCAAAGTAGGTTGCTCCTTCATACTTGTGTGCCGCTAAAATTATCCAGCAGACAGCACCCAACAGCAGCTGTGCTATACGCAGCCATCCTAACAGGCTTCGTAGGAAGGGCCTATTCAGGCTCAGAGATTCTCTAGATGCTGGACATGGAGGTGGAGGTGAAGAAGGGGGTGGTGGAAGAGGCATGTTATACCACTAGATCCTCTGCAGCTTGTCTCCTCTAGTGCCTTCTTCAGCTGAGCAAATCTCCCCTCTTCTTTTCCCCTCACTTCTGTCTGCAGCTGCCAAACATCTGCAGCTTAGTAGTTGTTCCTGCACTAGGGCCTCTCCATTTCCTGTTTTAGCCCTCCCTTTCCCACCCTTGCCCCTCCTATTTTTGGAGCTCATTTCATTTCTCCTTCTTACTAACAACTCTCTCCCTCTCTCCATTGCCCCTGTAGCTTTAGCCAAGTACTTAAAATAATTTCTGAATGCTGCCTTCTTTAGAATTCCTTAGCTCTGTTGCTACTTGGGCCAACAAGGCTCTGCCAAACCAAAAAGATTGACTAAAGAAAACATGAATTCTGCAGATATCAAGTTCAGTTCCTCCCTTCTGCATGGAAAAGGGCCAAGTGATAGTCACTCATTAAATTCCCAAGAAGGAAAAACTTGAACATTAAAACTAAATGTATAGTTTCTTCATTTGCTGTTCTGGCATTTAAATTTTGTTCCATTCTGCTTTAGATTTCGGAAAGGCAACCTTTGATTTTGAATAAGCATAATCCCTAGAGGATCTTTTAAGCCTTCCCTTTTTGCTGCAAACAAAACTTTTTATCAACCTCAAACTGAAGCTGACCTAATCACATCTGTAAATCCATGAAAACCACACCCTTTATGTTAAATTAAGAAGCTGGAGCAGGAGTGTCTTGAAGCTGGCCACAAAGGGATACTGTAACTGCAAAGAGTGGAGTAAAGTTTCCAGTGTTTTTCTTCCCACCTGGAACTGAACCCAGATGGACCTTTCTTCCAACACTACTATGATGCATTTTAAGTTCTAGTTCATTTTTAGTTCATCTCCACAACTGAATCTTTCAGAATTGTTGTTCATTGACATAAAAAAAACTATTCTTTGTGTCATTGTAACTTAATTTTGGTTTTTAGATGCTCCTGTAAGCAAAGAACTTCTATGTGCTGAATGTGTTAAATATTATAGGTCATGACTAAATATGTACCATCAAATCTGATCTGAGTCTTAGTGACTAAATAGATTTTCTCCATGACTATCCCTAAGTGGAGCTTTCTGTTTTTACTGTTGAGAAAAGTCTTACTCTTGCTATTTTCCACATATGGGATACTAAAACATGTATAAAATCAATAGTCCAAAACCCCTAGGGAAGTCCTGGAAGCCTGTCGTTCAGACAAATCAACCATCAACAGGCACATAGAGATAACTAATGTAGATACCACTCAGAGACAATCAAAAAGCCAAAACGGAAACAAAAATACCAACACATCCCAACCAGCAAACAACACCCACAAGAGCAGAGAACATCAAAATTAACACCAGACCAACAGTCAAAAATTAAACAATACCCCAATGAAAGAATTACAAATGCAGACAAACAAGCTAATAGTAAACAGCTTAATCAAGGAACCAAAAAATTACTGCCACCAACACTAACAGGACAAACCACAAGTACAGGGGTGTCAAACTCACGGCCTGCAGGCCGAATGCATTACATACAGGCCCCATCCCCGCCCAGTTTAGCAAAAGGGGGGAAAGTCCCGATATGTCATGTGACATGAGTTTGACACCCCTGCACTAGTATATAAAAATAAGAGCAAACCCCACTCCCTATTAACACTGATAACGTTACTTAATTGGGTAATGCAACGTCTGTAAGGAAATCACCAAACTAGGAGAGCACGAAGGACCCCACAGTTCAACCCTGAGCTACAAATATTCTCTTCAGTATGTCAGTATGGAAAGAATCAAACTATCATGGGACTAGGTTAGCCAGACTTCAGCACATACATTATTGCTTCTCTGTCAGACAGGCTGTCAGAGAAGCTAGTGGTGTTCTACAAGGTAACCCTGTTGTGTGAAAATAGCCGAAGGGCTTTAACACACGCCAATGGACAGAAACCTCAAGGAAGCCGAGAAGAAAAATGGTAAAACTGTCCAAAGTTGCTTTCGATAGCCAGATGGACCGCATATAAATTCAATAAATGAAGGAATAAATAAAAATCGCCCATGGCTGTGACACTATGCAGCTAAGGCCCTCTGTTTATATTGGATGGCGGCCGGCATTTGAACCAAGGTAAGAGTGTCTGTGCAGGAGCTGAATACAAAAACACACGGCCCGCCGAAAGCCAACTTCTAAGCAACGACGTCCTCTCGCCCTGCAGGCTAAAACCTCCCTTCTTCCTGACGTCAATAATCCTGCCTGCCACGTGTTCGCAAAAGAGGCCTCAACGTCCCTCCCTCGTCCTGCATTGATTGGCTAGATCACAGCATTCTCTTTCGACATTTGGAGAAGAGGGCAGCGGAAGGGATTGGCTGAGATGTGTATTGTCGTTTCTCTTCATTGGCCAAACGTATCTTCTCAGGAGCCGAGTATGAATGGCCTGAGGTCGGTTTGAGGAGGGAAGGTGAGACCTCCCCGAGCTCGATAACCCTGGCGGATCTTCGAGAGCTTTGGAGGAGCCGGCGACGCCAGGTCCGTGAGTGCCTTGCAGAGCTTGAAGGTCCTGGCTTCAGCCTCGATCGCCGTTCTGGATGGCATGGAGAAGGGAGGGGAGAAAGGTGATTCCTTATGGCCGTTCAAAAGACGTTCGAAGATTTTCTAGCAATAATTCAGACAAATCCCCTTTTGTCTGCTGAGATGCGTGTTAGTTGGGAGGCATTCTGCTGCTGCGTATCTTCTTCAAAGAATCCAAAGTGATCGGGTGGGGTGGGGTTCTCTGGAACGAGGGACTTGCCCTATATTACTCAGTGGAAATGACTCGCAGGGAGTACTCCTTATATAATGTTAATGGTAGCTGACAATTGCGAATATCGGAGACAATTTAGCTGAGGCCCATTCGATTGAGAGGCTACCCGTTAGTGTGCATTTCAAACCTATGTCTCTGCAATTCAGGACCCTTCTATAAATACTGGCGTCCTCAAACTCCCATAGGGTAGAATAAATGACAGTGTTCGGTATTGTATTGTAAAAGGATGCGCTTTTACCATCGTGAGAACTGAGACATTAGTACCAATAAAGGAGAATATGGTAGCTCAGGGATGAAATGAGGGGTCCTTGGTGCTCTCTGAGCTTGTTTTCTTGCAGATGTTTCATTACCCTACCTAACCAGGTAACATCATCAGTGCTAGAAAGCCTCCTTACTCACACTGTTGTAAGTAGTACCACTGTTGTAGTACTACTGATGTAGTTAGTAGTTAGGGTAATGACCTATCTGCAAGAAAACAAGCAAGCTCAGAAAGGACCCTCCTGAGATATTAGTGTTAGCCCTCTTGCTTCCTCCCTTTCAGTCAGATTGGCGGATTAATCGATGTGGCTTATTGACATTATCTGCCAGTTTAGCAAATATGACTCCAGTTCAAATTGCTGCTGGTCCATCATGTGTGTTGCTCACTTATGTACTTTTTTGGGCATCTGGATCGGTAGGGTTTTCCAAGGAAATTGTAGCTGTTGTTACGAGGCTTTGCCAAACACAGGGCATGTCAGAACCTGAAAGGGAAAAAAATGTCCTGTTGTTGAGAAAACTTCCCATCCCAAATAGATCCACCCTGGTACTCATACCAGTTTAGGTGGAATAACCTGGAGCTCATATTTCCTGCTAATTGAGTAAATGTGCAAGTCCTGACTTGACAATGCATAGTCTATCTTCTACTATATATGAATTACCATACAGTTTTCACCTTAAGCTGTGACATCTGAACAATGTCAGTGCCTTAAGTCAATGAAAAGCCCTGAGTTAACATTCTTGAAATATTGCATAACTGAATAACCACAATGGTAGAGAAAGGAGTCTGTAATGGATATTTTAATTTGCATTCTTGCACAGAGCAGAGAGTTAAGACTTAATGATTTAAATGATCTTCTCTGTTCTGAGGAATCATCTTCCTGGAGGAATTAGGATGAACTGTGTTACAAGGAAATTTAGTTCTAACCTGTGGTCCCAAAATGTTAGGTATTCAGATTAAGGCTATTAAACATCTATGCATGTTTCCACTTCGACCCAGGTTATGGTAGGAAAGAGGAACTGCTGTCAGGACCAGTTAACCAATCTGCTTTTTCCTGGTTTCATTTTTTCTACAGAACCACCATTAGCTACGATATGGAGAGATCCTAGCACCATGGGAACTCCAGCCTCTATTACCTGTGACTTGCCACAGAATCCAATCACCAAATCATGTACTAGAAAGAGAGCATCTGCCAATATTTTCCAGGGGGTGGGGTTACTTCAGTTACGTCGTCTCTTCCGTAGCAGTGGGGATGTGCAAGCAGAAGAACGAGCCCAGCTAATTTGGGAGCGTGCAGAAAGCCAATGCATTACTCGGGCCTTACAACAGCTCCACAGAAGGCAGAGGAGGCTGAGGCTGCAAGCCAATAGGAAGCCTCTATATGGAAAGGGCAGTAGTACCAGGCTGCTAGAGCTACAGCACTTTAGTCACTTAAGGTATGATTTTGAAATTTGTTTTTATACTGCTTTTTAATTTTACTTAGATTGCTGGTACTGGAAGCAGAATTTGTAGGCTCTATCCCCTCCCCCAGCAACTTCTTCTGTTGCTTTCAACTAAGAGTAGGAACATATTGTTATTCCGATTCACAATTGGTTAATGTACTGTATCTTTAGGAAGGAAGGTAAGGATTTATTTAGCTTGGGTTTTTTTCATTGAAATCTTCTTAATGGTTTTCTGGCATGTATTTAAAAAGTAAAACCCTTAGTTAGCTGCTGCACCATTTAGTTGTGAACTGTGAACTATTCAACTCTTAATATTTCTAATACAATTGGTATTGTGTTAAGTATTAAACAGTAATAAAATGATGTATTGGGAAGAGTTTCTTTAATAGGTGTCCAATCTTGAAGCACCTTTTGTTAAATTCTATTCATGGATATTACAATAGTAACCAAATTGATCTGTAGAGATTCTCAGTCATCCAGGTCCTGCTTGTTGCAAATATGTTTTTTCAGAAGGCAACTGGACTTTCTTGTTTTTTCTTTTGAAGACGTTTTGCTTCTCATCCAAGAAGCTTCTTCAGCTCTGACAGGACAGTGGGGAATGGAACCATTCTGAAAACCTCCTGAAAAAGCACCTTTGGGATAACCAATTTGATGTAGAATAGATTTTTATAGGCCTTTCAGAAAGGGAAAACAGATTTTAGATCATATAGCTGAATAGGTAGGTGAATGATTTACAATATTACAGATCAGAAGAAACAAAGTTATAGGAAACTGCAGTGGGGGAGAAGATGAAATGATAAAATGTGTCATGATATTTCAACATAATCTCTACCTTTTGGAAGTGATGTGCAATTATCTAAGGGGCAGAGCTTGAATCATAACATCACAAGAAACATTTCATTGTTTTTCTCATTTTGTTGCCATCTGGACCTGCTATAGGCAACCCTGAGCAAATTCTTTCTTCCCCCTTCCTATTGTTAGGGGTTGCTAAAGCACAAAATATATTCATCATAGCTAAACAAAATGCTGTAAATCAACAGTAAGCTGACATGGTGAGATTATTTGGATTTCATTTTCCATCAAATCTAGCCCCCATGACCCATGGCAAATTATGGATGTAGTCTAAAACATCTGGAGAATATAAGTATTATTCTGCTAACATAGCAAGAGGATATTGAGTTTAAGAGCAGCTATATATATATATATATGTTACATTAGCAAAGCAGCATCACAATGGTTTTCTCCCTATTCCTTATCTTGATCGTCTGCTTCTAAGAAAAAAGGAGTATAATGTTAATTCTTAATGAGACTTTTGTTGACCCACAGGATTGAAGACTGTAATACATCTGCTGCTGCTGTTGATGATGACAGTAGGAAGAAAGAGATAGAGGCAGCAGATGGAAGTGGCCACTACACTGCTTCCCAATATAGGAAGAAGGAAAAAGAGATGGGCATGGCTACATGCACAATGAAAAATGATTGTGATTTTATGCCGATGGTTGTGGCCCAGTGTAATCAGACTAGCCTGGAGAAGCCTCAAAGGGTCTGACAGATGATTGCAGGTAACAGTAGAAATAAATTGAAAAATTATTTTGCTCTCAAGCACTTTGGTTTGCTAATTTAGACTCGATCAGTTTATGTAAAAGCACAAACACTACGTATGTTGACTATTTATGGTTTATATTTAATAAAGCTTCCTGTCTAAAAACCTCTCTGAATGTAAGAGTCCAAATGTCTCTCTAGTCCAGAACTGCTTTCTCCTAACAGATCTTTGGGAAATTTCAAAATGCAGAAGAAATTATTTTCCTTATTATTCCATATGCAAACTTACCGCTATCCAGAGGTGATGTACATAAACACTCAGTTAATAACTGCTTCTATATTTATCTTCCATTCACCAAATCTACTTTTACAAATTGTTTGAGAGAAACCAAAAATGTAGAAAGCCACATTCCCTCACATGACCAGCTTCAACAGTTTTTGCCCAGCGGCGTGCCAGAGAAAGTGTTGCCCTACCAAAGGTCTGGATTCCTTTCTTGCAGATGCCATATGAAAATACACCAAGGGCTACATCGATTTTAGAACTGCAGGCTGCTTACCTTTGCCTTAAACAACATCGAATTGGCAAGGTTTATTTAAATAAAAGGTTTTAGTGAGTACAGCAAGTTCTGAACATGTTTGCTAATCCATTGAAGTTAGAACTAAATGTTTTCTCACTGCCACAAATGCATACAAATATTCTAAAGGCAAGTACCTTTTCCCCACAATTGCAGAAAAAGTCTGAGAAGTGCTGGCCTACAGCAGGGGTGTCAAACTCACGTCGTCACAGTGGTGTCATGTGATGTACTGGGACTTTTTTGCCCTTTGCTAAACCGGGCGCGGGTGCAGCCAGCATGTGACGTACCTTGCCCACGGGCCGCGAATTTGACAGCCCTGGCTTAGACATGTGAATCAGTTATAAGCAGCTGCAAGACAGCATGATACACATAGCTGCTTTTTCATTTCATGGATCTGATTGACAACCACCAAGAAACAATCATGTCATATCGCCATTCAAACACTGATAGGAAGGTCTGACTTTCAAAGGGCAAAAAGTTACATTACTACTTACTTTACCTCTACAACCCTTTCTGAACATTACTAAATAATCAACGTTTGACAATGTGTCAAGGCCAAATTAAACAGAAGCATAGGAAGAAATAAGGCACAACAATTTCTAGGAGATAATACACAATTTTGTATCTCACTAAGCCTAAATGTAATGGTTTCCCCTACAACGCTGGAATATAATCCTGTAAATCCACTCCATATTTAATATTGAATTTGAAAAATTGATTTTCAGTCACTGCACACATGCAATGCTATCAGCACAGAACATGTAATAATTAGGTATCCGTTCTAATCAGGGGCAGCAATGATAAATTATTAAAATACAGGAATAGGAGGCAATTTATCCATGTTGTAGCAGCTCCAGCATAAACCAGGTCCTGCAAACATATTTTACAAATAAAACAAGAACAATAAGGAGGGACTTTTTGACAATGCAGGTATTGTAGACTACAATAATCTGTGGTAAATAAAAGTCAGTCATGTCAAGGCACAATTGCAGCTCTACTGCATGGTGTGAGGCTAGTGAAGGAGGAAGATCCAGTTCTTATTAACTCCAGAAGACATAAACACACACAAGAGACTGACTCTGTAACAGCAGATCTGTTATGAAGAGATTTGCATTGATTTAAATATATTACATACATTTCTATAGTGCATAAGAACAATACAATTCAGTTCGGACTGGCAAAAATTTAAAGTATTTCCAAGTGACAGCTTCTGCCTGCCACTTCTAACAAAATGCAAGAAACTGTCTCTTGAGCCAGCAACACCAGAGAAAAAGAGGTCCTACATTCAGCATATCAGGACTTTGTTTAAAAGAGACAGGAAGCTAAAATTAGTAAAAAGTCTCTTCTTGAAGGTCTGGGAAGCAGCCAAGTAGCCAACTGGGAAACTTATATAGAAAATTTCAAATAAGTTCTTGTTGCCAGTTTAGTACAGTAGCCTATGAGAAGCAACAATCATTGAATCATTCCACTGTACATAGAACATCATCTTGATATGGTAGAAATTCTACCTTCCTCTTACAATTCTCTACAGCCTGTAGAGGACATCTCCCCATGTCAGCATCCCACACAGAATTTCCCTCCCTACTTCCCTCCCCCCTCTACAGATTGTCAATGCTCAAACCAGCCCAATGGAATTCCCACTCTGTAGGACAATGCACACACCATTGCTTCTGGAATAACTTCTCTTCTCCTAAACCAGCCAGCATTTCTAGAGATGAGAGACAGCTATTGCTTACCCTTGGGAATACAATATATGTGTCTGAAATGCTAACCCCAAGATAATAGTGGTAGATATATAACTGTTATTCGATTGCTCTAGGATTATGTGGAGCATGAATTTATGAGCATGGGATGGATAATTTAAAACCAAATTAAAAATTAGTATCTGAGGTCTGTGGTCCTAGCCACAAGAGGAACGGGAAGCACACTAGTTAATTTTTGCTCTATGGTTGTCTTGCAGAATCCGTCTGCCCTATTATTTATCCTAAGTGGAATTGAAGCTCTTACATTTAGCTTTGGCCCAATCCTCAATAAATTACTTTGTATCAGATTAAGTTCTGATTATCACCACATTTCCTATTGAACAGCCCCAAGGCATACACGCTCGGAGCTCCTCCCTAGGACAAGAGAAACAGCAAATCCAGTGGGGCAGGAAAACCTGCTTTCAATAGGAATAACAAATGTGCAACAAGGAAGGAACAACAAGGCTGGCAGCGATACACAGTGAAGTGCTTCCATCCAATTTGGATTATCCCCTCACCACCAGCCCTTCCTTGTAGGAGACCTTGTGAGATGTCCATCCAAATGAACATTAGAAGGATATCTTGAAACAAAAGGGCATGCAGGCTCCTGCTAGGAAATGCTGTCATGCTTGGGCTGATGGATAGGACAATGTCCAGCCCAAAGAGAGGGCAGCAGCAATCAGACCAATGAACATCCCTTGTTTCTCACAGGGAATATACAGAGTTGAGACTGACCCTGCTTACATTTCCGTCCGTCTACAGCAGGCAACCTCAGTCTGGAGGGTTGATTGCTTGCTCTCAAATGATGCCCCCTCTAAAGTCCTTCACTGAGAATAGAGGCAACTGCTACCACCAGGTAAAGAAGGGCCTGCGGCTCTGGAAGCTTTGTGTGTATGATTCACTGGCAGAGCGTTGATGGGAACGAGCAGTCTCTACAATAACCGGAGGCATCTGGACCAAGTTAAGAGGGCTCTTCCCATCTTTCAGGGCCTGCATCAAGTTCAGGATCTAGGAATGGAAGAAAGAAAACTGAATACCAAACTAATGTATAAACGGTAAAAATTGCCCAATGCCCAACATAGGTTCCATCTCTCCAGTGGGACTAACTACATACCTGACCACGCATTACTGCAATCTGTTTATGAAATTGGCCTCGGTCAAAACCTGGATCTTTCTATAAAAGAAAGAAATAGCATCCCTTAATTAGGATGGGTGTGGCTGCTCCTTAGAGAAAAATGGGTGTCTCCCATAATATTATGATATTAAATTGCTCTTGTGGTTACCTTGAAGAGTTCATAGAGATCTTCTTCTAGATCCTTGATAAAATTAAGGTCTGAAATCTTTGGCAGGATAAGATCCTTGATCTCTTGAGAGAATGGCACTTTGGCCTGTGGCAGCCATGCCCAATAGAATGGATCTTGTGAAGGAAGAACAAATAGAAGGCAAATATTAGGCTCATAATGCCAGGCTAGCAATAAGGTTAGCACAGATTCAGATACAAAGGAAATACTTCAAGACTTAACAGCCTGGACTTATTAAAGGAACATCAAGAAATTAGCCCTTCACAAACATCCACACTGAAAAAAAAAATACATACAATGAACTCGTATGGCTTCTCTTATTTGGAATACTTACATGCTCTCCAAGAGTCTGGATGCTTAAGAGGGAAAGCCAAACCATTGTCAATGGCTGCCAGTTTAATTATAGGCTCCTTGACTACAACCCATTCTGAGTCCTACAAGGAAACGGAAAATGTTGCATCAGGAAATGATACAAATTCCAGCAATCATTGTCCATTAGTTGAAGAGATAATGTATAATTCCAGAAGACTCATTGCCCCAAAGCTACTATAATGGAATGCTTGCAATAGCAATAGCACTTAGACTTACCGCTTTGCAGTGCTTTACAGCCCTCTTTACAGAGTCAGCATATTGCTCCCAATAATCTGGGTCCACATTTTACTGACCTTAGAAAGATGGACAGCTCAGTCAACTTTGAGCTGGTGAAAATCGAACTGCCAAACTGCTGGCAGTCAACAGAAGTAGTCTGCAATACTACATTCTAACCACTGCACCACCACAGCTCTTAAACCATGTCAACATAGTTTAAGCTACCTCTGTTTTATATCCTTTCTGCAAAGGTGCAAAGAGAAACCAGGCACTGCTTGGACTACACGGTGTTACAGACATTATTAATGCACTTTCATATGTTGCCCACTATAAAACCAAGATGCCATAAAGTGCTATTGCTGAATTGCCTAAGAAGGGTCTAGCAAATCCTAGGTCTCTACATCTATTTCATATACTTAAAGCTAACTCTAATATTTCTATACAGTTCACATGACATATATTAAGTATTTTTATCATATGTACACCTCTACTATAGAGGATTAATCTGGATCTCTAGTGTTTGAACTTCCCTAGATCTGTTCCATACAGGACATTATATGAAAGTTTCTGAGAGCTTATTTTCTGTACCATAGATTCATATGGAGTTGTCAGAGCCCCACTGGGCCCTACTCACCTGCATACTGGTACTGTCCAGGGGGCAATCACACTTGATCAGCCAGTTGTCATTACCCCTATCTGCAAAGAAATAGAAATGCACAGATGGAAAATAGAGAAATATCTCACCACAGATAACAAACCTCACACCCCAATATTATGGGTGGAAAAATTACTGGAATATGGCATGACTGGAATATGAAATAGGAAGAAGATCCTATGCTTTCTAGCCCAGTGGTCGCTAACCGGTGGGCCGTGGCCCACTGGTGGTCCATGAGAAAATTTTGGTGGGCTGCAGTGCACCCGTGTCTGCAATGGGTGATACTGGCAGCAGATGGACTAATGC